GATACTCATGGATTCCCACCTAATATGTGGATGCAAATACATTTTTCTTCCTCAGATTTTTTATTTAGTGGAAAAAATAAAGAGTATTACATTGTTCATTTTAGCTAGAAAAGTAGGACAACTTTGAGGAAATGAAATGTCTGTGTTGTGTCCTTTTAGCATTTTGGTGCCAAATGCAATGGAAAGAAATTGTATTTTGGAACCTTTAGGGATGTTTCCTCTTGGAATTTGCCCCTCTGACTGGATTAAATTAATCTGAGAGCAGTATTTTCAGTTTTTGACAAAGCTATTGATATGAGCATTCATAAGCATTTTAACTTATGAGAGCTTCATTGTATAACACCCCCCCCCCCGGAACACCTTTTCTTTTCAAGATATTTCTGGCTTTCCTAAGATGCCCCAGAATCACACTTTTTAGAAGATCTACATTCTTTTTTTTTTTTTTTTTTAAGTTGGAGTCTCACTCTGTCACCCAGACTGGAGTGCAGTGGCCGCTCCCAGCCACCGCAGCCTCGACCTGCTGGGCTCCGGCGATCCTTCTGCCTCAGCCTTCTGAGTAGCCTGAATTACAGGCATGCGTGCATTCTGAATGTGAACTTGGTGTAAGAATCCAGAGAATTGAGTTTTTGAGACCAGTAGAGTGAAAAGGACCGAGCTGCCTTTTAGTCGATCCTTAGAAGTGTAGTGACTCTCACTTCCATGTGCTTTTGTCTTGTATGTGGCAGATCCTTATATATGAAGTATGGTTCTCTTAAGATAATTTTTCTAATTTTTACTAATCAGTTTTATAGTGAGAGTTTCCTACTACAAACAGTGGGTGCTACAGTGATTTTCTCTTTTGTGGTAGGAAACTGGAGACCACGTTTGTCAGAACCGGTACACAGTTGTGAAGAATGTGGGCTCTGAGTTAAATGGGGCTTGGGCTGATTGTTGGTTAGTAGCTAGCTTATTTATTTATTTTAAAATTAGCTTATTTGTTTAAATAAAACCTCAGACAAGTTACTGAACCTAAATAGATCTCAGTTTCCTGATAACGAAAAATGGAGATATTACTAGTACAGGCATACTTTGGAGATATTGTGGGTTCAGTTCTATACCACTGCAGTAAAGCAAATATCATCATAAAACAAGTCATAAATTTTTTTGGTTCTCCAGTGCATATAAAAGTTATGTTTACACTATATTGTAGTATCTTAAGTATGCGATAACATTATATTATTTATTTTTTTATTTTTATTTTTATTTTTTGAGTTGGAGTCTCACTCCATTGCCCAGACTGGAGTGCAGTGGCCGCTCCCAGCCACCGCAGCCTTGACCTGCTGGGCTCCGGCAATCCTTCCGCCTCAGCCTTCCAAGTAGCTGGAACTACAGACGCATGCTACCACACCCGGCTAATTTATTGATTTATTGTAGAGATGAGGTCTCACCAAGTTGCCCAGGCAGGTCTCTAACCCACGGGCTCAGGCAATCCACTCACCTCAGCCTCCCAAGGCGTGGGATTACAGGCTGAGCCACCGAGCCCGGCTAGCCTTATATTTTTTAAATGTACATACCTTAATTAAAAATACACTGCAAGGGGAGGGTGGGTGAGATTGGCAGTTGAGGGAAACTGCCAGGGGAGGGATTGGCATGCCTTATCAACAAAGGTATCTTCATAATGAACATTTGTATACCTAACCCTGAATTGTACCCCATATCATTAAAAAAAATACTCTATGCTTGTGCTTTTGAAGTATTTGTATCATGAGCCGGGCTTGGTGGCTCAACTTGTAATCACGCGCTTTGGGAGGCTGAGGTAAGTGGATTGCCTGAGCCTGCGGGTTCGAGACCCGCCTGGGCAAGCGAGACCTCATCTCTACAATAAATCAAAAATTCAGCTGGGCGTGCGCCTGTAATTCTGGCTACTCGGAAGGCTGAGGCAGAAGAATCACCGGATCCCAGCAGGTCGAGGCTGTGGTGGCCGGGAGCGGCCACTGCACTCCAGTCTGGGTGACAGAGTGAAACTCCAACTAAAAAATAAAAATAAATTAAAAAATTAAAAAATATTTGTATCATGATATATGAAATTAAAATGACCCTATTAAAAAATGATAATACTCTATTGCTAAAAAATACTAACAATCATCTGAGTCCTCAGCAGTTATAATCTTTTTGATGGTGGAGGGACTCTCCTTGATGATGATGGCTGCTGACTGATTAGGCTGGTGGTTTCTGAAGATTGGGGTGGCTGTGACAATGTCTTAAAATAATACAGTGACGTTTGCTCCATCAAATGACTCTTCCTTTCACAAAAGATTTCTTGGCAGCTTGCAGTGTTGTTTGATATTTTACCCACAGTAAAACTTCTTTCAAAATTGGAGTCAACTGTTCAAAACTTGCTGCTGCTTTATCAAATAAGTTTATGTAATATTCTAAATCCTTTGGTATCACTTCAACAATGTTCACAGTATTCAACAATGTTCACAATGTACACAGCCAAGTGTAATAAAATGAGAGGTGCCTAGAGCTAGAAGATTCCATCTCAAGAAACCACTCTTTGCTCAACCATAAGAAGCAACTTCTCATCAGGTCAAGTTTTATCATGAGATTGCAGCAATGTAGGCCCATATTCAGGCTCCATTTCTGAGTTTCTTTCTCATGCTGTTTTCACCACATCTGTAGTTACTTTCTCTACCGAAGTCTTTTTTTTTTTTTTTTTTTTTTTTGAGTTGGAGTCTCACTCTGTTGCCCAGGCTGGAGGGCAGTGGCACGCTCCTGGCCACCGCAGCCTCGACCTACTGGGCTCTGGCGATCCTTCTGCCTCAGCCTTCCAAGTAGCCGGAATTACAGGCATGCGCTGCCACGCCTGGCTGATTTTTTGATTTATTGTAGAGATGAGGTCTCGCCAATTTGCCCAGGCGGGTCTCCAACCCACGGTCTTAGGCAATCCACTCACCTCAGCCTCCCAAAGCGTGGGATTACAGGCTGAGCCACCGAGCCCGGCTTCCACTGAAGTCTTAAACCCCTCAAAGTCATCCATGAGAGGTGAAATCAGCTTCTTCTTTCTTTAAACTCCTGTTAATGTTGCTGTTTTGACTTTCTTCCATGAATCACAAATATTCTTAATGGCATCTAGAATGGTAAATCCTTTCTAGGAAGTTTTCAGTTGACTTTGCCCAGATCCATCAGGAATCACTGTCTATGTCTGCTGTAGCCTTACAACATGTATTTCTTAAATAATAATACCTGAAAGTCAGAATTACTATTTGATCCTTGAGCTACAGAATGGATGTTGTAGCAGCAATATTAATCCCTCTGTACATCCATCAGAGCTGTTAGGTGACCATATGCATTGTTAGTGAGCAGTAATATTTTGAAAGGTATCTTTTTTCCTGAGCAATAGGTGTCAATAGTGGGCTTAAAATATTCAGAAAACCATGCTGTTAAAAGGTGTTGTGCTGTCATCCAGGTTTTGTTTCATTTTTAGAGCTGAGTAGATTTAGCATTTTTTTTTGGAACTGTAAATGAACATTGACTTCTACTTAAAGTCACCAGGTGCAGTACTCCTAACAAGTACACTTGGCTTTGAAGCTTTTAAGCTTTGAGGGCAGACTTTTCTCCTCTCTAGCTGTGAAAGGCCTAGATGGTATCTGTTTCCAATAGAAGGCTGTTTCATCTCTATTGCGAACCTGTTGTTTAGTGTAGCTGCCTTCCATCCATGATCTTAGCTAGATCTTTCAGATAACTTGTTGCAGCTTCTACATCAGCACTCGCTGTTTCACCTTGTGCTTTATGTTGTGGAGATTGCATCTTTTCTTAAACCTCATGAACCAATCTCTACTAGCTTCAAACTTTTCTTCCATAGCTTTCTTACCTCTCTCAACCTTCATAGAATTGAAGAGGGTTAGGGCCTTGGTCTGGATTAGGCTGTGGCTTAAGGGAATGTTGTGGCTATTTTGATCTTCTATCCAGACTACCAAATGTTTTTCCCTATCAGCAATAAGACTGTTTCACTTTCTTATTATTCATGTGTTCACTCGAGTAGCACTTTTAATTTTCTTCAAGAACTTGCCCTTTGCATTCACAACTTGGCTAATTGGCGCAAGAGGCCTAGATTTTAGTCTGTCTTGGCTTTTGAAATGCCTTCCTCACAAAGCTTAATCATTTCTACCTTTTGATTTAAAGTGAGAGGATGTGCTGATTCTTCCTTTCACTTGAATAGAGGCCATTGTAGAGTTTTCTTTTTTTAAAATTTTTTATTTTAAAGATGTGAGGTACTTTTCAGGATTAGGTATACAAATGTTCATTATCCAGGTACTCTTGTTGATGAGGTGTCATTGTTGGGTTTTCAGTTGGCCTAGTTTCAATATTGTTGTGTCTTAGGGAATAGAGGAGCTCAAGGAGAGGGAGAGAGACAGGGAACAGCTGATGGATGGAACAGTCAGAACACATAAAACATTTATTGATTAAGTGAGTCATCTTATATGGGCATGGTTCATGGTGCCCCAAAACAATTACAATAGTAACATCAAAGATCACTGATCACCATAACATCATAATAATAATGAAAAAGCTTGAAATATTGCCAGAATTGTGACAGTGTGACACAGAAACATGAGGTGAGCACATGCTGTTGGAAAAATGACACTGTAGACTCGTTCTACACAGGATTGCCACAGACCTTTAATTTGTAGAAAGCACAATACAGTAAGTCCCCTACCATACAAACAAGTTCCGTTTTGAGAGCACATTCTTAAGTCCAGTTTGTTCATAAATCCAGCAAAGTTGGCCTAGATAACCCAGCTAACACCATAGGTTATACAGTACCAGCTACATCACTGCTGCTTTATGCTTGCTGCTGGACATTCTGGGCTTGAAGTAAAGATACTGCACTACTGTTTGCTGTACTCTGTACAGTACTGTACAATAAAGTACACAAAAGCACAACCACTTGTAGAGGATGCAAGCATGTGACATTGTTTGCCAGATACATTAACTAACTTACGTGATTGGATACGTGAATGCGTGTTCACATCTTTAAAGCTCACAACTTGACGGTGTGTATGTAGGGGACTTACTATATCTGTGAAGTACAATAAAGCCAAGTGTATAGAAAAAGATATGCCTGGAATAGCAAGGATTAATGACATTGATGAAGAGTATTTATCTGGCACATATTAGACGCTTCCTAAATGTTGGCTGTTATCATTATAATTAAAAGAATTAGTTGAGGTGGAAAGTGAGACTCTGACAGGTTGGGAGGGTTTTTGTCACTAAGCACAAACTTGGATGTATCTGCTGTTACTGCTCAGAAGCCTTTCTGACTTATGATTTTTGGCAGTATAGCAAATAGGTGAATTTGCTATATGATCTAGGTTTTGAATGAATAAGATTTGTTATAATTTATTTAAGGGCATTTGAGACAGGGACTTACATATATTTGATGATTAGGTGACATTTTCTTAGATGCTGGCTTTCCAGCACCAGTGTACATTTTATTCTTTTTTTTTTTTTGAGTTGGAGTCTCACCCAGGCTGGAGTGCAGTGGCATGCTCACAGCCACTGCAGCATCGACTTGCTGGGCTCAGATGATCCTTTCACCCCAACCTTCCAAATAGCTGGAACCACAGGTGTGTGTCACCACACCCAGCTAATTTTTTTCATTTATTGTAGAGACAAGGTCTTGCCAAGTTGCCCAGGCTGGTCTCAACCCCGTGGGCTCAGGCAATCCTCTCACCTCTACCTCCCAAAGTGCTGGGATTATAGGTGTGGGCCACCATGCCCTGCCCTTATTGTATTATTCTGACCTCTCCTTTCCCTGCCTACAGTGCTGAAGGAAGTCCAATGAACAGCAGCAATTTTAGTAGGAAGTTGAGCACTTTTAGGAATCTTGGTGGTTTTTCTGTCATTCCCTTCCAGTGTTGAAATTACTATTTGTTTCATAAAATATGTGGCTCCTGGATGACTTAGTTGCTTTTGGGGTTTTCTTTTTTCTCTGTCAGACTGATTTTTGGTCAACAGTTTGGTGCCAACTTTCAAATGTATTTAGCATTGTTCTAGGGAAGAAGAAGAGTCAATACTTTTAAAATGAAAAATGTGTACTAGGGCTTGGGGGCATTTGACAAAGATGAGGGCAGGAGGGAAAAAGTCCTCAGCCATTTTTTTCTTCTAGTAAATTTTCTTGTAGATTGATATTCAGTCCTGAAAATATGGCTACATGTTCTGATCGAGTGATTTAGAATGGAGAGAGTGGGTCTTCAGATGTCTTCTTTACAGTTTTTAGTGAGGGAAAGCCACCAAGGACCCACCTCCTTTCTGTAAACAAATACTTAGACTCACTTCCATATCATAATTTCGACCTTACACAGGCTGTCTTATGCATTGTCTCACAAGGTAGGCGTTTTAACTCTTAATTCCATTCTTCAGATGGGAACCCTGAGACCCGGACACCTGCCTGAGATCCTTTGATGTCTTTATAGGCTAAAACCCACCGAGGTTCCTGGTTTAGTCCTGTGCCTTTTCCTGAAAGATGTTTTTTAGAGATAGTAAATACTGTGCGCTTTACTCTCCTTAAAAATCTTTTAATCGCTCCCCACTGTTCACTGCATGAAGACCAAACTCAAAATAGCATGCACATTCCTTTAGGCTGTGACCCAGCTTCAGCCGTGTCTCTTACCTCTCTCTCTCTCATTACTTGCCTTTGTGTGTTTGCACCTTCTCTTCTTTCCTCTTCTCTGTCCTTATCCACTTTTGAACCACTAGAACCTAGAAGGATTGGCTTGGGCAGTCTCCCCTGCCTTCTTGCCCCTGTTGCTCTCCCTAGTTAGATGCCCCTCTTTTTTGCTGCCATAGCACTATGTCAGTACCTTTATTATAGCATTCTTTATGTTCTGATTGTAAAAGTGGGTTGATATTGTCTATTCTTCCTCCTGGACCGCAAGCTCCTGCTTATCTTGGAGTGTCTAGTACCTAGCACTTGGTAAGGATTCATTTAAATTATCTTTGTCTCTTATAAATGACCTTCCTGTCCATGTACAAACTTCAGCTGTCTCTAGAAGTATAGCATCTTCTGCTTTAAAAAAATGAAATAAGCCAGGCTTGGTGGCTCAGCCTGTAATCCCAGCACTTTGGGAGGCTGAGGTGAGAGGATTGCCTGAACCCGTGGGTTCGAGACCCGCCTGGGCAACTTGGCAAGACATCATCTCTACAATAAATCAAAAAATTAGCCGGGCTTGGCAGCGCGTGCCTGTAGTTCCAGCTACTTGGAAGGCTGAGGCGGAAGGATCAACGGAGCCCAGCAGGTCGAGGCTACGGTGGCCGGGAGCGGCCACTGCACTCCAGTCTGGGTGACAGAGTGAGACTCCATCTCAAAAAAAAAAAAAAAAATGAAATACATGGATATGTGTGTGTGTGTGTGTGTATGCATGTACATATATATCTTAGTTTGGAAATGACAGGGCCAAGTATGATGGAGTGTTGTTGTTTTTTTACATTTTTAAAGTTGCTTTCTGCTTTCCCCAGTGTGTGTTGAGGGTGGGGTATGTGTCACTACACTTAGAGAGATGGTGCAGGGAGTGTGGTGGTAGCAGCCAAGGAAAACTGTTCACGGGTGTTTTCATCAGTTGAATAATGGCAGAATCCCTTGAGGGCCTTGCTGTTTGGAGGCCTCATTTATCTTCACCCTACCTAAGACCTACATACTTGAGGTGGTATATTAGCATATACAGGTATTTGACTCTTCTCTGCCAATCTTACTTGTGAAGCGGTGTCTGTGACATTAGTTCCTAATCCTGTGGCACTAGATAATATTGTACATTGACCTGTTGGGTGACATTTGTGATTTCTGTATTTTTGCGGGGGTGGGTGCTCATGCAATCCTACCACCTCAGTCTCCTGAGCAGCTGGGACTGTAGGCATATACCACCATGCCTGGCTATTTTATTTTAATTTTTTGGTAGAGACAAGGTCCCAGTTTGTTGCCCAGGCAGATCTCAAGCTCCTGGGTTTAAGCGATCCTCTTACCTCAGCCTCCAAAAGTGCTGAGTTTACAGGCATGAGCCACTATGCCTGGCTTGTGGTTTCTCTATTGTTAATGCAGTTGATCCAAGTTAATATCTTTTTTGACAATTAGTAGAAACCTACTCTAGCTAATTTATGCCAACAAAGGGATTTATTATAAAAATACAAGTGTTACTCATGGAACTGTAGACCAAAGGTGTAACTGGACCTCTCAAAAGCTTGGAAAGCCATGGAAGTCGAAGTCATTATTGTTTAAGTGTCTAGAAGTCAAGCTTTTATCTCTTATATCCTCTTTGTGTGTCTATTCACTGCAGAACAGCTTTCTCTGCTTCCTCATATTTGTGGTCAAATTTAACAAGTGTGTAGTTTAAGCAGCCAGCTTCATTAGCATCTCTTAGCCCTTCAGCCAAATTATTAGGAGAGAGAAAATGATTAGTCCGATGTATGTGGGACCTTTATCTTTGTTAGTTTTTCTGTGAAGTTGACTGGGAAGGAAGTGGTTCACTCTAGGAAGTTGTGGAAGCAGGGTACAGTAGTTTGGGAAAACGGGGTTTTGGGTAGAACAGCATTCTAAAAGGTGTTTCCTGATTGTTTTGTTTCTGGAATGTAAAGAAAGAATTTCACTAATCATTTTAGGAATTAATGTAGGTAGTATGGAATCCTATAAATTCTTTCTACTGACATAACAATAGGCTAGTCTTCTCCAAGTTTGCTTCAGTGTTTGGACTGAATTACAACCACCAGTCAAGATTATCTTTATAGTTTTCTAACAGCTGGTTGAATAATGAATAGCTTTGTGCTCTCCTCAGAGAAAGATGATAGAACCTGTCAAAAATAATTGTGCTTTAATTTAGTTCTTTGCCAATGACAGATGATGAAAACTGTACCAATGACAGATGATGAACACTCTCAATGAGAATTTCTAAGTTACCAAAACACTCATAGCACTTACATATGCAAGAATAGTCACTCTTGCTTAAACCCTAGAGCAATGCTTTACAATTGTCTGGGGGAGCTTCTTACAAAACCTCCAAGGACCAGCCTGCATCCTCACACTCTGAATCTGTAGGCTGTGAGGGCCTAAAAGTCAGTATGGGTAACAAGCTTCCCACATAATCGGATGCACCCCAAGTTTGAGAAGCGCGACCAAAGAAGGACTTGATTTGTTGGCATCTCCTGGGATGGAAATTGTGTTTACCTCCAACATAGAACATGTTCAAAATGGCTCCTCAAGAAAATTGTGACATTCTTCTTCAGTCTCAAGATAGACTGAACCTACGTTTCTTCTAATACCATATTTCAGTCTAATTAACAAATTTAGAAAACTTTTTTCACCTAGAGCCTTCTACCAAAAACAAAAATAATTCAGTTTTACTTGTTGACAAAATTGGTTGTCATAGAATTTTCCACAGTCAGAATTTGAGTGATTGCTTCTCCCATAGTGTCATTTAACATGGTTTTTGTCCCACTGTTTCTTAATTGGTTGATTGCCATGGAAGCTCAAGCAGATGGAGGTTGACAAATGTTTTGGCAAGAATATTCATGGATGGTATGGTAGACTCCATGAGAAGGCCCACTGTGCTCTCCTTTTTGTTAACAGTTATTTATGATAATCACTTTGGTCCATTCCTTAAGGTTTGCTAATTATCTTTGAATATCGACTAAACACTGAACCCCAAATAGAGGCACTTGAATTTACTTTTACTGGGAAATAGTGACTCAGAACCTGGCCTTGATTCCCCATTAGAAGTGATTGCACCCCATTGACATTGCCTTGTGGTTTTAGATAACTTAGAAATGGGCACAGAATGTTCCAGCCGCCATTACTGAGCCCTGGTATGCTATAGTACAGATCAGTACTGAGTTGATACAGTCATATTTTCCAGGTCTTACATTTAAGTCTTTTACATATGTCCATTTTCTCTCAAGAACACACAGTCTTCCTTTGCTTTCTTTTTTTTTTTTGAGTTGGAGTCTCACTCTCGCCCAGACTGGAGTGCAGTGGCACGCTCCCAGCCACCGCAGCCTTGGCCTGCTGGGTTCCCATGATCCTTCCGCCTCAGCCTTCCAAGTAACTGGAACTACAGGCACGCGCTACCACATCCGGCTAATTTTTGATTTATTGTAGAGACGAGGTCTCGCCAAGTTGTCTGGGCGGATCTTGAACCCACGGGCTCAGGCAGTCTACTCACCTTGGCCTCCCAGAGTGCTGGGATTACAGGCTGAGCCACTGAGCCCGGACTTCTTTTGCTCTCAACCCTTGATTCTCACTGGGCAGAGCTGCTTTGCTTTGCTGTGTGATACTTCTACTTGTTCCTTTAGATAAGGAGTACCCACCTATACGCCCCCTTACCCTCTGGGTCAACTAATAGTTGTTGATCCTAAGTAATTAGTTTAATACGTTGACTATCCCTAACTTGTTGAAATTGTTTGTGTTCTTTTAGTTAAAAACACTTTTAAAAAGTAACTAGCTGCTGGGCATGGTGATTCATGCCTGTAATCCCAGCACTTTGGGAGGCCGAGGCGAGAGTATTGCCTGAGTTCAGGGGTTTGAGATCAGCCTGGGCAACTTAGTAAGACCTTGTCTCTACAAGAAATCATTAGCAGGGCATGATGGTGTGTGTCTATGGTTCCAGCTACTTGGAAGGCTGGGGTGGAAGGATCACCTGAACTCAGCAGATCATGGTTGTGGTGACTGTGAGCATGCCACTGCACTCTAGCCTGGGTGACAGAGTGAGAGTCCTACTCAAAAAAAAAAAAGTAACTAGCTTGTCAAGTAAACAAAAAGCTCCTAAAGGTATATGATATTTTAATTTGTAAGCTAAGAGCATGGCTTTATGTTATTCCTTTTGAAGCCTTAAACAAAGAAAAATATTATCCTTTGCTCTTCTCTTTTAGGAAATTCACACAAATGAAAAGGAAGTAACAGAGAAGGAAGAAACTCTTCACTTGTTGCCAGGTAACCGTCATGTTAGCATCATAACTCATGCAACTCAAAGCCAGTGATAAATTACATCATCCCTAGTCTTGCTATATATAAAACTCCTTTGTTTTCATTCTCTCATATGTAACGTAATGAGTTGGACAAAAATATCAAGGTCTTTAGTTCAGTAACTACACACCTGGATCTGAGTATTACAGCATCTGTAAAGAATTTTTCTTACTTCCTCCTCTCCCAAGCAGATGAAAATAAACCTGGGAAATTCTTACCTTTTTTACAAGCAAATAAGGCTTTTTTCAGATTATCCTACTTGGTCCCATCCAGGATGCTGGTACCCAGTCAGGAAAATCTTAGGCCCCCACAGACCCTTACATGTCCATACTCTCTTTCTACAGCCCAAGTCTGTACCTGCCCTTGAATAGGGCAACTGCTCATGCTCCCCAGCTTCTTAGGCCCAGCTTTGAGGGGGTGGCCTCTCTACCTGTTGGTCCATTTCTGCTTATGCATCTGGGCATATGTGTTGGGGATGCTGGGGTTTACCAACTCTGGAGCCTCCATAGCTTTGCTCTGCTGTCATAATGAAGGTGCCTGTATTCGTTGAATATTTCTGAGATGGAGGGCAGTGACTGTAGCTTAAGTTTTAATCACATCTGAGTTCAGGAACAGAAACTGCTTGGTGGTGTATCCTCTCCATATATGGGATATTCTGTGATATGTGTATTTAATTCTTTTTCCACTTTCTTTTTCCGAATCCAAACTAGCTTTTTTTTCATAAGTTTCTTAAGGAACATTTTCTCAAAGCAATAGAGGCCTAATTTTTTGTACTTTTTATTTTATTCCAGTTTATTGAGAGGCTATGAATCTCTACAGTTTATTGAGAGGCTATGAATCTCAGTGTCTGACTGAACCACCTTATTTGGTAAAATATATTGGAATCCTATAACTTTTTGAAGTTTTTAAATTTCAAAGGCTTTTTTCTACAATGACCTTAACTTTAATTCATAGCTCCTTTTGTTTTTCCTTTTCTTGGATTAATAGTTTCTGAAATTAATCTTATTTTTAGCTTAACATTAGGTCTATTTTCCCCTCTCCTAGGTTGCTTCACAGTCTCTTCTAGGTGTAGGTATGTAGTGGTAACTTCACAGTTAACTCCTCTGAGCCTCAGTTTCCTAAACTAGACAAAGATCATATCCGGCTCCCAAGTATCAAGATTCCAGACTGTATCTGTACAAACAAGTTGATCACTATTGGCATAGCATGCCATGTTTGCAAAGGGCCTCACCAGGAATGCTGTATTAGCTAGTACATGCTAAGTTCTGGTCTCCAGTACATGACTATGGGAGGGGCTGGCAGGTTTTAGGGAGTACCTCACTATTAAAAGCTGCTTCACATTGAGAGTTGAAAGCACAGGAAGGCTTGCTCACGTGTCTTCCACCTTGGACTTAGCTGAGGCACCTTTTCTGGGACTATTTTAAACCCTATTGAAGCCATGACTTCATTGTTTTCTTCAAACTCTGTGATCTCTCTAGAGGTTGGCCTAGTGACTAAGCCATCTTCTGGTATTTCCTTAGTGTTTTAGCCTGGGGTAGTTAAACCCTTGGAAGATGAAAAAAAAAGAAAGAAGGAAAAGAAAAACCATCATAATATATGTCCCTTCTGAGTGTCTGACACTCTTCTTTATTTTTATATTGAAAGCTAGACTCAATAAATTTTGAGCCAAAAAGTAAATTTAGAGAACTTAAAGGAGATATTCAGAGGGAGATTCTGAGTGGAAATGGTTGGTTATCTGTTGGAGCAGAAAATTTCTTTTCTTTTTCCTTGCGAAGCATTTACACTAAGTTTTTTATTTCTCTCATAGTCTACACTTTTTCTTGCCCTCATGAGCTTTTCTGCTTCTAGGGAGCAAAGAATACCTGCCTAGCCCCCAGTTCTAATCTTTTTTTTACTCTAAAGAGAAGTACTCTGTCTCCGGCAGCCACAGCTTCTCGTGTGGACTGGATGCTGCAGGGGAGGTGACACACTGACAGGAAATACTTTCAACTAAGAAAAAGAGGAAACCGCTTTTTTCCCCCCACAAACCTCTGACCTCCTTTTTCCTCCTGGTGTGGAACCAGAACAGGGTGGCTATGCTGCGGAAGCTGTAGCACCTTTTATGACTAAGGATGCTGCCCAGAAGCCAAGGAGCTAGGGAGACACCCCTGCTTTCTCTGAGAATTCTTGTGTTAGAAGTTATCCCCTCTCACAGGAAAGTAGGCTTGAGATCTGCATTCTGGGACATACTGGTGAGCCTGCCTGCTCATTTAGGGTATTGCTTCTATGGAACATCTGCTTGGGTCAAAGTAATGAAAACACTAGGATCTATGCTTGAAAGTACAGCTGAGATCATTGCCACCTGTTTGGGAACTTCCATTATTCCCAGTGAGAGGACAAAGAAATATCCTGCATGAAGGTATATCAGAGCCATATTTATTTCACTGATTGATGGTCCCCACTCTACCTCATCTTCTCTCCTAGTTTTGTAGCCATGCCATACTGAGAAGTGCTGCATTGTATTGCATGTTCATCCTTATGTCAATAAGACTGGAAAGCTTTTAATGTTTACCTGCTATAAGCTCCCGAAGGACTCTAAGGAGAACTTGTTTTGGCTTCCACCAGGTGAACAGCTGCTTTGTGAAGCCAGTACAGTACTGAAGTATGTCCAGGAAGATTCCTGTCAGCGTGGAGTCTATGGGAGACTTGTCTGCACAGACTTCAAGATTGCTTTCTTGGGTGATGATGAATCTGTACTGGATAATGATGTACGTACGAGCTACATTTGGTGGAGTTTGGGGAAACAGTACAGTTGTGGCTGTTGTCTTTTATTCCCAGCTTCTCAATTATTCCACTTCCCCAACACACATAAATACAAACAAAAGACAGAAGTCCTTCTCATCACTGACCTGCTCTCTGTCCTTCAGGGTTCCCTTTTAGTGATAGAACCATTTAGAAATTTCCCACTTGTATCTTGTTCTGTGCTGGCTTGCGTTTTTTTTTTTTTTGAGTTGGAGCCTCACTCTGTCATCTAGACTGGCATGCAGTGGCTGCTCCCAGCCGCTGCAGCCTCAACCTGCTGGGCTCTGATGATCTTTCCGCCTCAGCCTTCCGTAGCTGGAACTACAGGCATGTGCTTCCACACCCAGCTACTTTTTTATTTTGTTGTAGAGATGAAGTCTCGCCAACTTGCCCAGGCGGGTCTCGAACCCGCGGGCTCAGGCAGTCAACTCACCTCAGCCTCCCAAAGCGCTGAGATTACAGGCTGAACCACCAAGCCCGACTTCTGGCTTGCTTTTTTTTTTTGAGTTGGAGTCTCACTCTGTCACCTAGACTGGAGTGCAGTGGCTGCTCCCGGCCACCACAACCTCAACCTGCTGGGATCTGGCCATCCTTCCGCCTCAGCCTTCCAAGTAGCTGGAACTACAGGCGTGTGCTACCACACCCGGCTGATTTTTTGATTTATTGTAGAGATGAGGTCTCGCCAAGTTGCCCGGCGGGTCTCGAACCCGCGGGCTCAGGCAGTCCACTCACCTCAGCCTCCCAAAGGCGTGGGATTACAGGCTGAGCCACCGAACCCGGCTTCTGGCTTGCTTTTAACCTCATAAGTTGACTATCAACTTTTTCTTACTCTCTTTTATATTTCAGTGCATTTCTATCACTCATTGGAATAGCATCTCCCAAATATACTAGTTCCCCATGTTTTCTTTATACTAAACTTTTCCTCAAATTCAGGAGCTGAGTTCAATAATGAAACTAATGGTGAATGCAGCCTTTGAACTTGGGTTCACTTTATGTTTAATTTGACCCTAGTAGCAGTATCCTTGTGAGATTTGTCCCTGCTCATCAAGAATGAGTAGTTAGGTAAGGAGAGAACTGCCCATACCACCAGGAGAGTATGTTAGTGGAAACCCAGCCAAGGCATTTCTGGCCCCAGTATGCCAGCCATCTTGGACCACGCTTGCTTTTAAATAGCAGCATTAGTGCTGCCTCCTTTGTCTTGTCTTGGGCTTGGTTCACAGTCCTGTCCAAAAACAGTATTTACTAGAAACTTGAATCTCCCAGTGTTTTCGTCCTAAAGCTGGCTTCAGTTAGCTCTGTCAATCTTCTATTCACATTTGTGTGGAGAAATGTTAACCTGCAGGTCACTTCCCCATACTTCTCAGCGTGATCGTGTGTAGCATGGTGGATTTGCCTAGGAGCAGCCCAGAAATGGCATGTCTTGCCCGGGTTTGGAAAATGAATGCTCACAGGCTTTTCTCACACACTGCCATCATCACTTTCTTAGGGATATAGCTACATTTTCTTTTTTTGTTTTTGTTTTTCTTTTTTTGTTTTTTTGAGTTGGAGTCTTACGCCTTTGCCCAGGCTGAAGTGCAGTGGCACACTCATGTCACCCCAGCACCGACCTGCTGGGCTCCAGCAATCCTTCTGGCCCAGCCTTCCAAGTAGCTGGAACTACAGGTGTGTGCTACCACGCCCGGCTAATTTTTTTTCTTTAATTGTAGAGATGAGGTCTCGCCAAATTGCCTGGGCTGGTCTCAAACCCGTGGGCTCAGACAATCCATTCACCTCGGCCTCCCAAAGTGCTAGGATTACAGGCTGAGCCACCAAGTCCAGCCCCCTGTTTTTCTTAATATGCAATTGGAGAATGGTGAGTTGCTCATCCTATGAATGTCTAATGGTGCACAGAGAAGTCACAGTTGTTTCCTTTTGAATCTTCTAGGAAACTCAATTTAAGAATAAAGTTATAGGAGAAAATGATATTACACTCCATTGTGTTGATCAGATTTATGGAGGTAAGTATCTGTTTTCCCTTGGGGTAATGCCAGCCTTTGAAAGTGTAGCTGATAATGATTGATATTTTTATGGCAATTTATAATTTACTAACATTTTTTCATCACATTATCTTGTTTTAATCAGTTTTATGGATGATAAATTCAGATGTAAAGTGGCTTGTTTGGAGTCACTTAGCTGGAAGAACTTGGACTTGAACTTGGAACTTGTTCTTTCTAATACTCCACCCATTGCCATTATATATTAGATGCTGGTCATGCTTTTTGCTATCAGCGTTAGCTGTGTAGGTTTTACTTTACTGGCTGCTCTGATAAAGGTCTATTGTATTGCACTGGGATGTCTTTTCTGCTGACTAAACAAACCTCTCTTGCCAAGCCTCTCTCTGTTTCACTTCTCTATTTTCATATTCAGGGCATCTTCAGAAATCATTTTGTAACCATTTATGATGTTCTTAATACCAGTAAGTGCTGAGTCGGTCCAAATCCTGGGACAGTGAGGAACATGTCAGTAGGGATCCTAGCCCAAAACCCAGAAACTGACTCTGAGTTGGAGTCTCACTCTGTCACCCAAACTGGAGTGCAGTGGCCACTCCTGGCCACCACAGCCTCGACCTGCTGGGCTCAGGCAATCCTTCTGCTCAGCCTTCCAAGTAGCTGGAACTACAGGCACATGCTACCACGCTTGGCTAGTTTTTGATTTATTGTAGATATGAGGTCTCTTCAAGTTGCCCAGGCGGGTCTTGAACCTGCGGGCTCAGGCAATCCACTCACCTCAGCCTCCCCAACCGAGGGATTACAGGCTAAGCCACCTACCCCAGCTCCTTTCATCCTTTATACTTTCAGCTTTTGAGCTTGGTTTTCTTTAGCCCAGTGGAATCAATTCTGCCATGGCCAGTCTATTTTGGTCTAGTGCTTACACCAATGGAATGAAGAACTCTGACTGCTCAGAGAGCCAGAGTCCCCCTGCTGGACAGGCCTGGGCTTCCTCTGACAATCATTCAAAAGGCAGACTTTTCCTCTCATTTTTGAGAGGTATCCTTAGAAGGTACTTTTTCTCTCATTTTTGAGAGGTATCCTTAGAAGGTAATACCCCAACTTGTTTCTTTAGCATTAACTTATTTCCATATAACATAATTTCCCTCCCTGGTTTCATTGTTGATCTGTAGTATTTGATGAGAAAAGAAAAACTCTTTTTGGACAACTGAAAAAATACCCTGAGAAGCTCATCATCCACTGCAAAGACCTCCGAGTGTTCCACTTTTGTTTGAGGTACACAAAGGAAGAAGAAGTCAAAAGGGTAACTAGTTGCATGTGTTTTTAGGTTTTATTTCCCATCGGGCTTTCCCTCACTAGTTCTAGTTTTTGCTTGTATTGCATGATGGTTGAGGGGGAGACTTTCACTCTATAAACTTGAAATTGGTTATGATCCCATATTCACTGATTTGAATGTGAGAGGCAATTTGGTAAAGCATGCCTGTGTGTCATCTTGGCACACTTAATCCTTCAGTTAACAATGTTTTGATTCCCAGAGTCACTACAGGGTAGGAGGCAGTAAACCAAGTCAGAAGCCAGTGGGAAAAGGGAAGAATGCAACAGCTAAAAGTTTATCCCTCTTCCCCCACCTCTGACCGACTTTCCAACAGACAGTAGAAGTGATTTCCAACTCCTATGAGTAAATGAGTTTACCTCTGGGAAGTGGTGGTTGTGCATGAAAGGAAGAGGTGCACAGGTCAAATGAGCAAAGCCAAATCATCTGCTATGCTTTTGGAGATTAAGTAAACTTGATCTCCTGCTTGCCACAGTGAGTTAGGATATGTAGCTAGGTATATTCAGAAAGTAACTGTATCAGTGTGATGTTCCTTATAACTTCCAAGATTTGGGTATTGAAGACCTCAAACTTGCCACTCTCATGGTAAGTACATCAGGGAAACCTAACAAGAAGCCAGTTCGTGTATATTTTCTTGGGCCACAGTGAGTTTGCACATGTACAGGTAACTCCTTCATTTTCTTTCAGATAATGTAGTAGTTCAGTCAGAATAATAAATATGACTAGCCGGGCTCGGTGGCTCAGCCTGTAATCCCACGCCTTGGGAGGCTGAGGTGGGTGGATTGCCTGAGCCCGTGGGTTCGCGATCTGCCTGGGCAACTTGGTGAGACCTCATCTCTACAATAAATAAAAAAAAACTAGCTGGGTGTGGTAGCGCGCACCTGTAGTTCCAGCTACTTGGAAGGCTGAGGCGGAAGGATTGCCAGAGCCCAGCAGGTCAAGGCTGCGGTGGCCGGGAGCGGCCACTGCACTCCAGTCTGGGCGACAGAGTGAGACTCCAACTCAAAAAAAAAAAAAATTAAAAATAAATAAATAAATAAATATGACTGGTATCTATTCACGATATGAAAAGAGTGGTATGAGTGTAGAAAATTTCTTGAGAAACTAGAAACTTCAGTTTGAACAATACTTTTTTAAAAATTTATTGTAGAGACAAGGTCTCGCCAAGTTGCCCAGGCTGGTCTTGACCTGCAGGCTCAAGCAATCCACTCACCTCGGCCTTCCAAAGTGCTAGGATTATAGACTGAGCCACCGAGCCCAGCCAAATAATTATTATTTTTTTTTTTTGAGTTGGAGTCTCACTCTGTCGCCCAGACTGAAGTGCAGTGGCCACTCCCAGCCACCACAGCCTTGACCTGTTGGGCTCTGGCGATCCTTCCGCCTCAAGCCTTCCAAGTAGCTGGAACTACAGGCGTGCGCTACCACGCCCAGCTAATTTTTGATTTATTGTAGAAATGAGGTCTTGCCAAGTTGCCCAGGTGGGTCTCGAACCCACAGGCCCAGGCAATCCACTCACTTCAGCCTCCCAAAGGCACGGGATTACAGGCTGAGCTACCGAACCCGGCTTGAACAATCATTTTAATCAAACATACTTTTGTTTGGCATAGTCGACAAACTGAAAGCATGATAGATTGATTTCTTTCCCTTGTCTTTTAGAAGAAGGTCTCGTGTGTGTGTGTGTGTGTGTGTGTGTTTGTCAGAGTCTCACTCTGTTGCCCAGGCTGGTGTGCAGTGGCACACTCATGGCCACCACAGTGTGGACCTGCTGGGCTCAGGTGATCTTCTGCCTTCTAAGTAGCTGGAACTACAGGTACATGCCACCATGCCCAGCTAACCTTTTTGATTTATTGTAGAGACAGGGTCTTGCCATGTTGTCCAGGCTGGTCTTGAACCCCATAGGCTCAGGTAATCTTCTTGCCTCTGCCTCCCAAATGCTGGGATTACAGGCGTGAGCCACTGCACCCAGCTAGAAGAAGGTCTTAAAGGTCACAACAAGTGGGTCAGAACAGCTAAGTGTCTTGGTTATTATCTGATCAGCCTTAAGTCTTTGACAGGTCAGATATTTTAGAGTATCTGACTTAATATGACATTTAAGTTTTTTGTCACTTTTTTTTCTTTGAGGCAAGGTCTCACTCTGTCACCCAGGCTGGAGTACTGTGGCACAATCATAGCTCACTGCAGCCTTGAGCTCTTGGGCTCAGGTGAACCTTCTGCCTCAGCCTCCCAAGTAGCTGGGACTATAGGCGCATGCTACCACACCTGAGTAATTTTTCTATTGTTTTGTAGAGATGGGAGTCTCCACTTTGTTGCCCAGATTGGTCTTGAACTCCTGACCTCAAGCAGTCTTCCTGCTTTGGTCTCCCAAAGTGCTGGGATTACAGGTGTGAGCCACCATACCCGGCAGCGCTTTGTTTTTAAGAAATTAGACTGTTCTTAAAATATTCTTAGAAATTCAGAGTTCTTAGAAAACTTGACAAAATGATTAGTATTCTGTTGATTTGGCATTATTTGAAAAGCTAACATCATAGATAAAATAAGAATCAATGTATAGTCCATCAGAGCCCCATTTGCATGACTGAGACCTAGACATTTTGACTCTTGTCTGTCTTAGTGTTTATCTTTCAAAAGCATAACTATATCCTTTGATTGGTTACTTTCTAGATTGTCAGTGGCATTATTCATCATACCCAGGCTCCTAAATTGCTTAAACGATTGTTTCTGTTTTCTTATGCAACTGCTGCACAAAACAATACAGGTAAGTGTCTTCTAGTTTTTAATTTGAGGATAGGAAAGACCCTCCCAGTTCCTGCCTGCAACCAGCTGGGAAATGCTCATTCATGCGTAGGGTTTTTTCCTCTCTTCTCTAGCAATTGGTCACCTCTTGCTTGAGTGATTCATTCAGGTTTCTGCTTCTTTTTTTCCCCTGTGATTTTTGTTTTAACTTATCTTTTAGGCTTGTTTGCTTGCTTTTGCAAGGAATTGTTTGATTGATTGCATCTTATGAAAGACAAAAACAATATATTGTACTAGGAATGTGAGACTATAGAGAAACAAGATAGAGACAAGTGTAAAGTAACTGTGCTTGTCACTGGGCTCTTTTTTCCACTTAAATATACCTGATTTCAGTTTATAAGACTCTAGACAATTTCTTGCATTCTAGAAAGTTTTTAAACATCCCAAACATGCTTTGTAGCAAATATTTTGGGGAAAATGGAACTGTTGTACGTAAGAAAAGCACATCATAAAACTAATTTAGTTAGAGAAAACTTAAAGTTTCAAATGTTTTCATTCAGGTCACTGAAAAAGAGAGCAATTTTTGTTTTTGTTTGTTTGTTTTTAAGTTGGAGTCTCACTCCGTTGCCCAGACTGTAGTGCAGTGGCATGCTCCTGGCCACCGCAGCCTCGACCCGCTGGGCTCCGGTGATCCTTCCGCCTCAGCCTTCTGAGTAGCCGGAATTACAGGTGTGCGCTACCATGGCCGGCTGATTTTTTTTTTATTTATTTATTGTGGAGATGAGGTCTCACCAAGTTGCCCTGGCGGGTCTCGAACCCGCGGGCTCAGGCAATCCACTCACCTCGGCCTCCCAAAGTGCTGTGATTACAGGCTGAGCCACTGAGCCTGGCCAAAAGAGCAATTTTTAAAAAAAGAAACTCTGGCCATCTGAATTAGCCATTAACAATGCCTAGCATTAGACATGTTTTCACAGATGTCTGTCTTTATCCTTCTCTATTTCTTCCACCTCAGTCTGTTCACTTGTTCTGCCAACTACTTTTAACATGAAATTGATGTTTGGTGATCCTGAGTCCTATGTGCTTTTTTATCAGGGAAGTGACAGTTTCTTTTAAAAGCACATAAGGCTTTGTCATAAGGCTTTCTGGAGCACAGAGTTGCTTTCTCATGGTCTGTACATTTAGTAAACATTCATTGAATGCTTGCTATGAGCCAAGTCCTGGGGGGATATGAAGGTGAACAAGACTCAATTCTTGTCCTCAAGGAGCATGATGTCAAACAGGAAAGGTAGTGGGGTGGTGTATCCTCTGATGGAAGCGCCCACCCACTCTGGGGAGGACAGACTGTCAAAGGGAGAATGCTATGCCAAAGCTCATCTTGGAGGTGTGGGAGCATCTGGCAGCCTTAGAGGAGTATTTTAGGAAGTGGAATTGGCATGTACAGAGATGTAGACATCTCAGAGAGCATGTTGCATTTTGGGAACTCTGCTGATTCAGTAAAAAAAGTAGGCATTTTGGTGTCTGTCTCACCTGAGTTCAAATCCTGACCAAGCTGCTTTGTAGCTATGTGATCCTGGGGATGACACTTAACTCTAGGAGTCTCTGTTTTCTCATTTTATTTTATTTTACTTTATGTTTGTTTGTTTATTTTTGAGTTGGAGTCTCACTCTGTCACCCAGGCTGGAGTACAGTGGCACGCTCACGGCCACCAAGCCTCAACCTGCTGGGCTTAGGCAACCATTCCGCCTTAGCCTTCCAAGTAGCCTGAACTACAGACGCATACCACCATGCCTGGCTAATTTTTGTGATTTATTGTAGAGACGAGGTCTCACCAAGTTGCCTGGGCTGGTCTCAAACCCCTGGGCTCAGGCAATCCTCTCGCCTTGGCCTCCCAAAGTGCTGGGATTACAGGCTGAGCGATCACACCTGGCCTGTTTTCTCATTTTAAAAACATCAATATTAGTGCTTCCCTTGAAGTCTTGTGAAGATTATAAATTGTTAAATTCAGAGCACATAGGTCACAGTCATTAAGTGAGAATTATTTGAGAATAAAACTGCATATTATTCAGGACAGATTATGCTCAGAGAATTGCATGAAGTACACTTGGCACTAATATTAGACTGAACATAAAATTTATCCCTTAATTCAGTAAGTTCATCTTTGTGAATGACATATCTTTTTACTGTAGCTATATATGTAAGTGCTGATTAACTGAATGCTGGCTTAACAGCTTGTGGCAATACGAGATATACAAATATGACTTTTTTCTACAATAATTCATATAAACATTTATGGAGTATCTATTTGAAAAATGATACTCTATTTTTAGGAATTCTGACTCTTCCTTATGTCTTCCTTATGTCCTGTGGGGATATGAAGGTGAAACTCTTACCTTGATCGACCTTGGCACTTTCATTACTCTCTGGTGGCTTTTTGTGCCAGAGGCCTAGGATGTGTAGCATCTTTTATTCTATGTTAACGCCATACTTCTTCTCTCTTCCTTCCTATTCTCATTTTTTTGAGAAGTAAAGATTATAGATGCTAAATGACAAATTCACTTTTTAATTGAATAGGGGTTTGTAGAGGTGAGTGCTTTCCAGTTTGAATACCTTTGATTATTCCCTGGCTTAATAATTCACAAATGTGTTTTGTCTAGAGAGTCTTAAATGCTTATGACATAACATTTGAGGGAAAGATTTTCCTGTATTGCTAAGAAAATGACCCACTGTGCTGAATTGGGAATGTATTATTATGTCCATGGAGAGAATTTTTTTTTCCATTAGTATTCTATGGAAATTTACTTTATAGCTGCCTGGGTTAGAATTCCAGCTCCATCACTGCCTAGCTCTGTGCTTTAGGCAGGTTCCTCGACCTTTCTGAGCCACATCTATAAAACGGAGGGAAGAATATTAACTATTTTGTTGTCTGTCTATAGAGTTGTGAGGATTGAGTTAATAAAATGTAATATGTATGCTCAGAACACTCCCTGGTACATAGTAAGTACCAAATAAGCGCTGACTATTATCATCTTTGTTCTTGTTTTTTTGCTATGATTTGTTTTTATTAAAAGGACCAGGTGGGGATAGTTTTAGCAAACACTTTGTTTTTCTCAGATTTGATTTTTTAGATGTGCAAAGACTTAAACTATTTGTGATAGAATTTGTGTTAATACCCAAGATTATTTTGGTGCATGTCACCCCCGGAAAGCAGTGCCATGGCTTGAGAGAGGACCAAGGACATGTCTGCTGGACTGCAAGAGCAGTGTTCCTGGGCATTTCGTCCTAGGGGGTGGTAGCAGGACTAGGCTAGGGACAGAAGAACCCATCACCAGGATGCAGCCTTTGGCTAACTGGCCCTGACACTCACTGGGGCTGTCTGATCTGTTTACAGCCTTCAATAACCAGTTGTCACACTGGACAATCCTCTTGCAGGCAGTACATCTTCCAACTGAAAGAGGATTTACATTCAAGAACCTGAGATGCTATTCAAATTAGTTTGCCATCTTAGGCACATATGGGTAGAGCTAAAAATATTTCACCGTTTTAGCATCTGTGCCAAGCCTGTCTTTTAGTGCTTCACACAATCTTTTTGTGTTATATAAATTATCTCATGGCCAGATTACTGAAAATGGAGTTATAAATTACTTTTGCAAGGAATGGAACAAGAACACCTCCTTTCCTATGATATAAAAAGACATAGCCTCAGTCATAATTGTGAATTAATGACAAAAAATGAAACAAGGTTAGCATTAAGCAGTGAATTCACTCTACTTGGATAAAAATGGGCTTAGTGGAGGAAGCGGACCTGAAGTGGTACTGTCACATAATGAAAATCAGTGCTTCATGAAAAGGTTTTGTCTGTTAAATTTTGTTTTGTTAGCCACCAATCCCCAGAACCATACAGCTATGTTTGATACACTTGAGGACTGGTGTTGGGAATTGGAGCGCACCAAAGGCAACATGAAGTACAAAGCAGTGAGTGTCAATGAAGGCTATAAAGTCTGTGAGAGGTAAGCAGTGCTGGACACATGCCCTACTATGCACCTGTTGGAAGTGTACAGCGGGTTTTAGTATGTCCATGGGATTGTGCAGTTATTATCACAGTCAATTTTAGAATATTTTTCTCATTCCAAAAATAAACTCCATATGCATTAGCAGTCATTCTCCATTTCCCCCAATACCTCTTTCCTCCCCAGCCCTAGGCAAGTCAACTTTCTGTCTCTGTAGATTTTCCTATTCTGGACATTTCATATAAATGTAGTTATGTAATATGTGGTCTTTTATAACTGGCTTCTTTCATTTGCATAATGTTTTCAGAATTCATCTATTTTGTAGTTTGTATCAGAATTTCATTCTTTTTATTGCCAAACAGTATTCCATGGTATAGATATACCACATTTTATCTATCCATTTATTAGTTGATAGTCAATTGGGTTGCTTTCACTTCTTGGCTCTTCTGAATAATGCTGCTACAAACATTAATGTACTAATTTTTGTGTGGATATATGCTTCTATTTATCTTGGGTATATAGTCTAGAAGTGGAATTGCCAGATTACCTGGTAACTCTTTGTCTAACTTTTTGAGGAAACTCACAACTGTTTGCAAACTGTTTTCCACAGAGATTGTAGCACTTTACATTCCCACCAGCAGTTTCTTTCTCCATATCAGTACTAGCTTTTTAAGCAAACTCTAAAAGTGTCTCTTAAATACTCGAAAGTAAATTTGTATCTTTTTGTTGTTGTTGCCCTTGTTGTATCTGTAATCTAAGTATAAAACTTATAGAGGCATTTCTGAATTTATATTGTATATTTTCTTTCCTTTTATCGAACACTTCATTTATTCACTGAACAAAAATTTTTGAGAGTCTCCCATGTACCAGACAGTGCCCTAGCTATTAAAGAGGATAGTCAATAGGCCGCCTAAAAACCTCTGCCCTCCTTGAGCTTTCGTTCTAGTAGGAGGAAGATGGTGATAGAATAAAGAAGTAAATTAGAAACATTAAAAGATAAGTGCTATGGAGGAAACAGATCCAGCAAGGGATTAGGGCGTGCTGGAGATAATGGTGGGGAGGGTTGGACAGGAGGGTTTCCTGTGGAAGTGGCCGTTGAGCAAAGCCTTGAAGGAAGCAAAGAACTGAGTTGAAGGATGTCTGAGGGAGGAGTGTTCCAGGCAGAAGAGTAAGGCCAGAGGCTTGTATAATGACCACCATGAGGCCCTTGGACTGGGGAGGAGCAAAAAGGGAAAGAGGAGTCGGAGATAAGGCTGGGGAGAGACCACTGGCTGTGTGGGCCCAGAGGCTTCTTTGTCTCTGAGCTGATGGGGGAAGAGAGTTTGAGCAGAGGTAGAGGGGATCTGACCTACTTTTATTTATTTATTTACTTACTTACATACTTACTTGTTTGAGTTAGATTTGATCTGCTTTTATTTATTTATTTATTTATTTACCTACTTACTTATTTACTTGAGTTGGAGTCTCACTCTGTCGCCCAGGCTGGAGTGTAGTGGCACGCTCACAGACGCCACGGCCTCATCCTTCTGGGCTCAGGCAATCTTTCCACCTCAGCCTTCCAGGTAGCTGGACCACAGGTGTTTGTCACTATGCTCAGCTCATTTTTTAATTTATTGTAGAGACAAGGTTGGGCCAAGTTGCCCATGCTGGTCATAAGCCTCTGGGCTCAGGCAGTCCTCTTGCTTCTCCCAGCCAAAGTGCTGGGATTATAGGCATGAGCCGCTGCACCCGGCTGACCTACATTTTTAAAGAATGACTCTGCATAATCTGTTTTTATAAATTTGAATCTTATTATTTTGGAACATATTCCCTAGTACCATGCTAACAGTTTCCTAGGGTGTTGTATTTTTGTAGTGCTCTTTGTATTCATGGTTCTGTTAGGCCTCTTCAGCAGATCAATTCTGAGTTTGAGCAACCTCAAACATTACAAGGTTAGGCCTCCCCACCTTCCCTACCCCGTCACAGCATGAGCTGTGGTGACACTGGGAAGTGGCCTGCGTACCTGACACCCCCCTCCGAAGCTAATTTCACTGTCATCTCTACCCTGCTCTTTCCTCTGTCCCAGTTATAAAACTTGAAAGGGGAAAGCTAGCTCTTACTAGAAAGAGGTTACAAATCCCTGCTCCTAGGAGGTAATAGTTTGTAATATTTCATTGATAATAATATAAGACATCTGCAGTCCCAGAATTGTTTTTTAAAAAAATCCTGCCACATACTGATTTGTTGGTGTTTGCATAGATATTAGCATGCCAAAAATGTACCTGATGGAGAGGGCAGAAAGGGAAGCTTTTCATTAGTGATAACTGCGGAAAATGGAGCTTTAGCAAGATTTTGATGCTTGGAATACTCAGTGCAGACACACCCCTTGGATTGCCCGACCTGCTCCACCCTCTGTTTTTCTGTCCCATGGAGGTGATACAGGAAAGGCTGTGCATTGTTTCTCCCCTGGACAACTGTAGTGGCTGCCTCCAGGTCTCCCCCATGCTCTCTGGCACCCTAGCATCCATTCTCCACACAGCAGGTGAGAGGGCTTCTTCACAAGCATATGATCACACCCTGCTTCAGTGGCTTTCCACTATTCTTGGTATAGAACAGGGCCTTCAGTAAGCACTCCAAGGCCCTTCATGAGTTGACTCTGACTTTATGATATACCCCTCTGGCCACACTGTTCTCCTGCTACTGTCCTTTCCTAGCAGTCTCTCATCTGGAAGTACCTTTTCCTTCTAGCTGTAGAAGTATAATTAATTCCACTTCATCAGTCAGATCTCAGCCTAGGTGCCTCTTTCTTTCTTTCTTTTAGTTGGAGTCTCACTCTGTCACCCAGGCTAGAGTGCGGTAGCACACTCACAGCCACCCCAGCATTGACCTGCTGGGCTCTGGCGATCCTTCTGCCTCAGCCTTCTAAGTAGCCAGAACTATAGGTGCGTGCTATCACACCCGCCTAACTTTTGATTTATTGTAGAGACGCGGTCTCACCAAGTTTCCCGGGCTGGTCTTGAACCCGCAGACTCAGGCAATCCATTCGCCTCAGCCTCCCAAAGTGCTGGGATTACAGGCTGAGCCACCGAGCCTGACTGGTGCCACTTTCTTAGAGAACTTTCCCAAGACTAAGGCCTCCTTGTAAGGCTTTCACTGCAATGTATGCCTGTGTTCCTAGCACTTCTGCAATCGTGAGGTTGCTTTTATTTATATCCTTATTTGGTTAATGTTTATTTCTGCAACCTACAGCTCTGTGAAATCAAGGACACTGTTTTTGCTATTGTTTTATCTTCAGTACCAAGCACAGGGCCTGGCTTCTAAGAGGTGCACGATAAATAGGAGAAAGAATGAATAAATTAGTTAAAGCCCCATCAGTAATTGGGGTTGAGGGGAGCTTCAATCAGTTTGAATAAAAATAAGAAACTGAGTATCCGCTTCATCTTCATCAAGTTCAGAGCTATAGCTATTCCATGCCTATTCTTTATCTTTTTTCATTCTCCTACTAAAAAAGCCTTTCTCAGCTGGGCTCAGTGGCTCAGCCTGTAATCCCGCGCCTTTGGGAGGCTGAGGTGAGTGGATTGCCTGAGCCCACGGGTTCAAGACCTGCCTGGGAGGCAAGACCTCATCTCTACAATAAAATCAAAAAATTAGCCGGCCGTGGTAGCGCATGCCTGTAATTCCGGCTACTCGGAAGGCTGAGGCGGAAGGATCGCTGGAGCCCAGCAGTTCGAGGCTGCAGTGACCGGGAACAGCCACTGCACTCCAGTCTGGGCAACAGAGTGAGACTCCAACCCAAAAATAAATAAATAAATAAAATAAAAAGCCTTTCTCTCATCCCACCTCCCTGTAAAGATTCAGAAAGGTGTATAGCCCTGTGGGGTTTGTACAACACAGAGGGACCTGTAGACTGATGCTGGCACAGGGAGATATATTGCTGCTCTGGGGTTGAGCCTGAGTGGATCATATAACTTTCTGTGAATAAAGACATCTTATATTAAGAGAGTCATTCATTTTGCATTCTATACTCACCCCAATGACTAAAATGACTACTTTGCAAGTAAAGAGGATTAAAATTGCTGTATCCATTGGAAGTCTCACAGTAGATACTCCATGAAATCCACCTAGACGTAAGCGGGTAGAAGAGGACATCCTCAACACCCCTCACTGACTGCAGTGCTTTTTGTCTCTGTGCATCTTCCTGTGCTGGGTGATGGAGGGTACGTTTGCTCATACACTTGGTTCTGACTTTTTTTTTTTTTTTTGGTGAAAGAGAAAATCAACTGGTGAACTATTTGTAAAATATTTAGGCTCTCTAGTTTGGGAAGATGTACTTTTTTTTTTTTTTTTTTTGGTGAAAGAGAAAATCAACTGGTGAACTAACTGTAAAATATTTAGGCTCCCTAGTTTGGGAAGACATACAAATTTTTTAAAACCATAGGGCCCCAGTTCAGCTTTGTAGCATGAGCTACTGAGCAAGGAGCCAGGAATCTAATTTAAATGACTCCACAAGTGACTGTCCTGAAAAGTTTGAAAAAATGTAGTCTCCTCAGCAATATAGGCATAGATGGAACATTCTTCAAAATAATAAAATCCATATATAACAAACCCACAACCAGTGTCATCCTGAACAGAGTAAAATTGAATGCATTCCCTCTCAGGACTGGAACAAGGCAAGGATGCCCACTTTCACCACTGCTATTCAACATAGTACTGGAAGTCCTATCCAGAGCAACAAGACAAGAAGAAGATCAAAATTGGAAAAGAAGAAATTAAACTATTTTTGCATGCTGACAGTATGATCCTATACCTAGAGAATCCTAGAGATTCCTCCAAAAGACTCCTGGACTTAATAAATGAATTTGGTAAAGTTGCAGGATACAGAACCAACACACACAAATCAGTAGCACCGCTATACATCAATAGTGACCAATCGGAGAATGAAATCAAGAACTCAGTTCCATTTACAATAGCAGCTAAAATACTTAGGAATATATTTAACCAAGGAGGTAAAAGATCTCTACAAGAACTACAAAACTCTGATGAAGGAAATTGTGGAGGAAACAAAAATGGAGAAACATCCCATGCTTGTGGATTGGAAGAATCAACATTGTTAAAATGACCATATTACCAAAAGTAATCTACAGATTTGATGCAATTTCTTTCAAACTACCAATGTCAATTTTTTACAGAATTAGAAAAAACAATCCTAAAATTCATATGGAACCAAAAAAGAGCCAGAGTAGCCAAAACAATCCTAAGCAAAAAGAACAAAGCTGGAGGTATCATATTACCTGACTTCATATTATGCTAAAGGCTGTAGTAACCAAACAGCATGGTACTGGTACAAAAGCAGACACATGGACCAGTGGAACAGAATAGATCATCCCGATATAAACCGGAAAACCTACAACCAATTGATCTTTGACAGAGCAAACAAAAATATACGCTGGGGAAAGGACACCCTATTCAACAAATGGTGCTGGGAAAATTGAACAGTTACATGCAGAAAAATAAACTTGATCCCTGTCTCTCCCCATATACAAAAATTAACTGTAGATGGATTAAAGACTTAAATGTCAGATCTGAAACCGTAAAAATCCTAGAAGAAGATCTAGGTAAAACTCTTCTGGACATTGACCTAGGTTAAGACTTTATGGCTAAAATCCCAAAAACCAATGCAACAAAGATAAAAATAAACAAGTGGAACTTAATTTAATTAAAAAGCTTTTGCACAGCAAAAGAAATAACAGTAAATAGGCAACCTACAGAATGGGAGAAGATATTTGCAAACTGTACATCCAACAAAGGACTATTATCCAGAATCTACAAAGAACTCAGACAAATTAACAAGAAGAAAATTAAATAATCCCATTAAAAAGTGGTCAAATGACATGAACAGACAACTCTCAAAAGAAGATGCACAAGTGGCCAACAAACATGAAAAAATGCTCAGTATCACTCATCATCAGGGAAATGCAAATTAAAACCACAGTGTAAACTACCTTACACCAGTCAGAATAACCATTGTTTAAAAAATCAGAAAAACAATAGATGCTGGCATGGATGCAGAGAAAAGAGAATGCGTGTATACTGTACTATAATTTACAACCTCTATGGAAATTAGCACAACTTCTATGAAAAGTGGTGTGAAGATTACTCAAAGAACTAAAAGTAGATCTACCATTTGATCTACTACTAGGTATCTACCCTAAGTAACAGAGGTTATTATGTATAAAAGACACCCATACCTGCATGTTCATTGCAGTATAATTCACAGTTGCAGAGATGTGGAATCAACCTAAATGCCCATCAGCTGATCAGTGGATAATGAAAATGTGGCATATATACACCATGGAATACTGTTTAGCTATCAAAAATAATGAAATAATGTGTTCTGCAACAACTTAGAGGGAATTGGAGAACATCATCCTAGCGAACTAACTGAGGAACAGAAAACCAAACACATTCTCACTTATAAGTGGGAGCTAAAGTAAGGATATGCAAAAACATACAGAGTGGTATAATGGACACTGGAGACTCAGAAGGGGATACGGCGAAGGGGTAGAGGGACAAAAAATCACCTATTGGATACAATGGTCTCTTAAAGCCCAGACCAAAAACTATTTGTATCCCTAAAACTATTGAAAAAAAATTTTTTTTAAATAAGTAAAGATTTTTTAAAAATGCAGAGTCTGATTCAGAAGGTGGGGTGAAGCCCAAGCATCTGCTTTTCTTTTAAGCTTCCAGGACATGCTGTTGCATACTTTGAGTATCAGGATCTTCTAGAACTACAGTTTTCATCCTGGAGGGCTTTTAAGGTTTGATTTAATAGTTATTGAGTAGCTATTGGACATTGGTAATTTTTTAATCTTCCTACTTGATTTTCACGGGCAGCCTGAGTTTGAGAACCGTTGGATCTGTGAAGAGGTTTTTACTTCAGTGCCTGCACCTAAAGAAGGGTTATGTTACCACTCGGCCATTCAAGCAGACATTTAAGAAAATATTTCAAGCAGTTCAGAACTTCAGAAGTCAAATATTCTTTAGTTTTGGTAGATTGAGTTATTTTAGCCTTGACCAGTGATTCCTAAACCTGGTTTTATATCACAATCTTATGGGAATGTTTTTCTTTCTTAATTACCTTTAAAGTTTTCTTTGATAAGAAAATTTCAAGCAGTATAAAAGAAAAGAGGATATAATGACTTCCCTTCCAGCCAATGCCCAGACTCAACAATTATTAACTCATGACTAATCCTGTTTTCTTTAAACCCAACCCTCCAGCACTTTACCCTCCCTTGGATTATTTTGAAATAAATCCTGAGCTCATGACATTTTATTCATAAATATTTAAATGTATGGTCCTAAGAATTAAAACTCTAAAAAATATAACCATGAAGCCATTATCACACATTTCACATTTCACATTCTTTAATATCCAGAGTTCAGATTTTCCCCAGTGTTTTATAAACATTTAAAACAGTTTCACTCTCATCTTTTTAATCCATTTTATTATTAATCAAGATTCAATGAGTGATATCTTGCAATTGATTTACAGGCTTCTGAAATTGCTTAATCTATAGATTCTCACACCATTATGTTTTTCTTGCAATTTGTTGAAGAAACCTGGCCATTTGTTTGATAGAGTTTTCCAAAGTCTGAATTTTGATGATCACATCCCCATGGTGATGTATAATATGTTGCTCCATCACCTAGAAATTGATTATGTCAAACATGCAACATACGTACAAACACCATCTGATTATCTTCTGGTGTAATTTGATGCCAGTAAGCACCTTATTTCTCATGAGACTTTATTTCAAGCTCTTTGAGGCAAAGGTGTTTACAGAGTCATAGTGCTAGAACTTAGGTAAATAGGCTTCTTATTCACAGAAACTTATGTATGCTGACTAAAAGAATAGACAGTATCCCCATATATCTTTGATCTCTGCAACTTTGAAAACCTAACCCTGCCATGTTCTACTACTTAACAGGTTTGTTCTTTTTAGACACTAAATGTTCTTTTTAGACACTAAGTCATACTGCTTGAGTTCAGGTCATAGCTCCACTATATGCCTACTAGTTGTGTAAGCAGGATCTTAGCAAAGTGTGTCTCAGTTTTTTTATCAAGTGGAATTTATAAATAGTACATACCTCATAGGGTTGTTGTAAGGACTAAATGAATAATTCATGTTAAGTAATTAGTACAGAGTCTGGCACAATGTTTGCTGTGGTCAGAGCACTTGACAAATAGCAGCAATCATCATAATTACTGGTTTTCATATTAATTTAACTGAAAGCAGCACAGGTGCTTATGTGATTACTATATGATGAGAATGATCACTCTCAATTTTGAAATTCATGTGCTTTTAGATATATTTTCCAATCCCATCATTTTATGGGTAAGGAAAGAGATCCAGAGAGGTAGAATAACTTACATAGGATAGTGCAGAATCTGAGGCAGAATCAGGATTTGAACCCAGATTCCTGACTTATTTAGCCAGAGTACTTTATGCCAAACTGAGAACAATAGTTCATCTGAGCTGGTCCTCTTAACGGGGAAATATGGTTCTTGTCATAACACTCTGCTTAGTTTACTTGTGTTCATTGAAGTTGAGCTTTCATACTTTGTGAATTAAGTGTAGTACTAAAACTTGACAACATCTCTTTCTTTTAGGTTGCCAGCATACTTTGTTGTCCCCACCCCTCTTCCTGAAGAGGATGTGCAACGCTTTCAGGGTCACGGCATACCAGTAAGTGCATCTGGAAATTCTGAGAGGCATGGGTTGTTTAGTGGTTCATCCTGGCAAAACGATCCTACTTAAAGC